TCCCGAAATTGTATTTAAATGAAAACTTAAAAAATATATACTAAAAAAAGTAAAAATAACAACTCGTGCTTATGTACTTGTGTATGTAACGTATATGCCGCGTATTATCATACATTCTAATATGAATACGGTGACCAGATTTCTGTGGCCAAAAATCGGGACATTTCTAAAGCATCGAATCCGAACATACAATTCTGTTTTTAGAATAAAAAGGCTGAATACAGTTGTATTTGATACAAAACAAAGAGAAAAAAATTTTAAATTTTTTATTATTTTGTTATGAAAATATAACTTACTATCTAAAAAAAACATGTAAATCAAATTTCAAAATTTGTAGAACATTTATAAATTTCGACGAATTTGAATAAATCCCCATCACGATTTTAAACATTTTAATCAGATTTTCTAGAATTGTTTTGTTGTATGCAGTTTTGAAGCCCATTAAATTTTAATATAATAAAGTACAAGTTGGAAGATGCTTTGATTTTGAGCAATTTTTTGTTCGCGTATTTTCTTCCATACACAGTATGTTCAACAATTTTTTTTGCATGGAGAAAATGAGCAACAGCTTCCACAAAATTTATCAAATATCAACGGCAAGTCCAAACTACTTATAATTTGAATTGAATCGGTTACAAAACTGCATACTCAGAATGTTTCTAAGAAATTTAATTAAAAAGCGATCAATTTTGTTTTGATGAAACTTTGTCGAATTTTGCTAATTTTTGTACAAAGTTTCAAATTCTGACTTACATTGTCTTTGTTAGATAACGAGCCACACTTAAAAAAAAAAAGGGATACCCAAAGAAAGCTAAAATGTCTCTTCCCTATTTATATTTTCGCCACTCTATCTACAGCTTATGTTTTTCATATACACGATATTTTTGAGGGTATTAGTATTATTTTTTATAATTTCATTAATTATATTATTGTAATATTAGCCAGTATATCTTTATGGCTAACTTGTATTATATGGACTTTGTGATAACGAAAGTGCTGCCTCGTTTGTACGAAAAATTTTTTTTCGGGCCAGAGTACAGGGAGAGTTTTAATAAATGAAAGAAAACGCTGAAAATCGGGACTTAATCGGTACAAATATGAAAAATCGGGACACTTATACGTCCCGACTTTTAAAAAATATTCAACGGGACAATTTTCTCAAAATCGGTACTGTGCCGCCAAAATCGGTACGAATGGTCACCGTAAATATGAATATTCTATTTGAAAACGTGTTAAAGTTATTAAAAAACTATTATGATTTTTTCGAGTGACTATAAAAAATGAGTAATTTCGGCAAGTTGCCGCCTAGCGTTTTAAGGCTAAAATTGTTCAAATGCTTGATTTCTTTTTTATTATGCTTCTTTCTGGAACCCTTGTGATTGAAATATATAGGTCATTCCATACAATATTTACACCTCAATATTTTTTTGGGGGTGAACTATTTTTGGGGTAGTTAAAGGAGCTTTTCGGCCGGTTTTTTTATTTCGTCATGATATTCGAAAATCTCGGAAAAAAATTCCCCGAAATTTTGAACTCACGGAGAAGTATCTTTTTTTAATTGTTCGCAGTTAATAAACTATAAGTTAAGGTATCAAATTGTGCGTAATTACCTCGGCTTTCCATGACAGTATGAGATAGATTTAAATAAAAAAAAAATTTGCATTAAAAAATAAAAAACGCGATTAATTATGCACATTTTGATACCTTCACTGATTTTCTCCGACAAACAGTTTATTAACTGCAAACAATTGAAAAAAGATACTTCTTCGAGATTTTCGAATATCATGACGAAATAAAAATTGTCCATTCAATGTGGGTATCAAACGAGAGGGTTTTAAGAAAGCTTTATTTCTAAAACATTTTTTGAGAGGGTTGCCATCTGTTTAGAAATTCTAAGTCAATTTAATTAACAAGTTAAATTGAGTTTTTAAAGGGGTATCAAAAGAGAGAAGTTTAAGAAAGCTTTATCTCTAACAAATTTTTTTTAGAGGGTTGCCGCTTGTTTAGAAATTCTAAGTCAATTTAATTAACAAAATAAATGAAATTTTTAAGTGGTGTTAAACGATTAAGATAGATTTATTTTCAAAATATTTTTGGATTTTTGAGAGACTTGTCACCTGTTACTAAATTCAAAATCAATTCAATTAAAAAATTAAATGAAATGTTTTTAAGGGTGTCAAACGAGGGAGATTGAAGTAAAACTTTGTCTCTAATATTTTTTTTTTTGATGAACCAAACTATAACAGTATTTGATAAAATTATACTCCTTAAGTGTTTCGTAGTGTTTAACAGAAAGGATGCGTCAATTAGTCGGTTTATTCTTCGAAAAATTGGAGTGGTAACTAAAAAAATCACTATGTACGAAAATGTGTTGTCTTAACATTTTTTCAATGTGAGGAACTATTATGATCGTACAAATCGATGTGATACTCTTTAAATTTCCATCTTTCAAACACGGTACGATCCAGATTTATTTCTGGCCAACGTCTTACACACTTCATCAGCACTTCTTAAAGCATTTTTGAAGGAATGTTTTAATAACAATAACAAGACGTCTTGAGTTGTTTGATGACACAAAAAATTCACAACCTAGTTTGACAAGAAATGACGGAAATTGGATCCAAAGCAAAACATAGAAGAGTTTTTGTTGATGGAAGTGTAGGCGATTTTGAAATACAAAAGCTACAAAAGTCGTGACGATGTATGAATCGGTTTAAGTTATTAGTACAGTCTCGAATATATTTCACGTTTCTAAGGATTTGCGTAGGTGCAGCTGAAGTAAGATATTGGTATGAATCTTAAAGCAACTCCATGTGTATGAGAAGCTTATGAGTATGTAGTATGTATGTATGTATGTATCTACATAGTTTAAAAATTTAAGATATAAACTTTCAACTTTTAATTGCCCAACTAAACACAGTTGAAAAAAAAATTATCATCAATATTAAAACTGTCGATAAAACCAAAAAAATTCAAAACACACGGAATATCAAATATACTCCCGAAACAAGGAACCAAATAAAGAAAAACTGCGTTTTTAGTTTTTCTTATTGACGCCTGGATTTTTTCAAAGAACTTTGAAATTCCAAGGCTATAGTTTATTCAAAAACTTATTTTCCAAAGGCGGACAACCTTCGCCAATATTAACAAAAAAAAATGTATGCACCAGGGCGAAAAAGCCGGAATAAAAAATGTATTTTAATTAAAATAATTTTTTGTATCCTAAACTAATAAGTTAGAAAGACCAAAGTTGAGGATGTGGCAGTGCAAATATTAGTACTTAGCATACATATATTTTTCAAAAAATAAATATTGGAAATTTTCAAGAATATTCAGGTTTAAGATTTTAAAGAGCACTTTCATTACATATTGGTCATTGTGTACCACAAAATAAATAAATAAATAAATAAAATTTAATGTTTTTCAATTCTGGCGAAGTTTTTCTTTTATTTGATATCCATATTTTTATTCTACATTGCATTTAATTTTTTTTTATCAATTATATCCTTGAAATTTCTCTAAAAAAATCCTGACGTTGGACAGAAAAACTAAACTAAATATGTACATATGTATGTGTTTATATTATTGATTTTTTGTGTGTAAAATTTGCTGTCGCGCGGTATAATCATTTACAATTAAACGCAGTGTTCAGTTTTGGAAAAGAATGCAACAAAATGCGCCTTTGGGGCGCACCTATGCAACAACCTACAAATTTCACGTATGTACTTAGAAATGCATTCACCTTCCGCCACTTGACAAGAAACAATTGGTGAGACAAGCAGGAAACATTGCACGTAGTTGTGGTGAAAATGCATAGATGTCACCAGCATATACCTCAATGACAATGGTGAGGTGAGATGATAATACAAGTGCCTAGTGCCTTCTTTTATTCTTTACCCTTCATCTTATTGACACAATCAAATGGACTTGAGCATAAAAACGTTTGGTAGGGAAAGTGAGAATGAAAGTGAAACTGAAATTAAAATACCTACATGAAATAAAAAAAATAAAGAAATTACGGTACATTTAAAAGAATAAATAGGTGGCGGTGGTGTCTGGCGATGGTATTTTACACAACAATGAGACAAACTGTATACCAAAGTGAATTTCAAGGAAATGAGAAGAAGTGTAATGGAAATAGGAAACACACAAGTTAAAAACAAATAAGAAACAAGGTGAACACATAAGAAACGTGACAGTTAAAGAGAGAGGGATATTGTAAAACATAGAAATTGTATTGTATAAATTTTGTTTAATTTTTTTTTTCTTTTTTTTTTTTGTTTGTTGGTAGTGTTTTTTTCTGCAACTTGCACTTTTACAATTGTGTTGTGTTTTGCTTATTTTTTTTTGAATATACGTTAAATAAACAATTTGCATTTGCAAATTGTATTTGTATTTGGTTTTTATGTGTAAGTATGTATATATAGTTTTTTTTTTGTTGTACTTAAATAAAAAGACATAAAAATATATACTCATATGCAAAAAAAATATGTAGTAAAGAGAGAGATAGGTTAAGTTTAAATTTAAAATATTATACGTATGTATATATTTATAAATAAATAGTAGTTATATATATTTTAATTTAAACCAAACGCAAAACAAATAAAAAATATTTTACATACATAAATAGTTTAGTTATAGCAGATATGTAAATTAGTTGGTAAATTGTGTGCGCATGATATGACATTCGGGTACTCACCAGCATAAATCGCTAAAAATATCGAGAGGAATGAAATGACGCTTGCCAAGAATTTTGCCTCCATTTTTGGTATTGATCCGTGGTTTGTACTTTTATGCTTAGTATTGTAATTATAACAATTGCGATTTTTACAATTTCTTTAAACTACTGTTGTTGTTGTTGTTGTTGCTTGGTTGGTTGTTTGTTTGCTGGCTTGATGATTGGTTAGTTGCTGTTGCTGCTGCTGGCGCTGCTGGTGTTGATGTTGCAGTTTTTTTTTCTCCTTTTTTGTTGTAATTTGCTTTGCTATTTTGTGAACTTGTTTGTTTGTTTGTTATAAAATATTGTTGCCACGTCTGTTGTTGTTGTTTAATTTCTATGTATTTTTGCTGCAATTACTGTAATTAACGTTTCAAATTTGGTTATTAGTTGTCGCGATTTGCTTCTTGCTCTTTGCTGTTAATGGCGCTAACGTAGGCGGTTGTAGCTTTTATAGGTAATATATGCACATGTATGTACGTGTATCTACGTATGTAGTATATATGTATGTACATACGTCTACATACAATACATATGTCGGTGCTATTAACTTTTCCTACTAGTATTTATTATAGATGGCTTGTAATTTTTTTTTTTTTTTTTTTGTGAATTTTCTCCAACTTTATCTTGCTGCGTTGCAAATATTTTTAAATTTTGAAATTTTCTTTTTGTTATTTTCTTTAGCCTTGAATGGATTAGCTCTTTTCAAATCGCCCTTTTTTGTGTTTTAATTTTGCGTTATCCCAACGTGGTTGTCCCGTAACATACATAGATGTATTTTATTTTTAATTATTATATTAAATTTACGTTTAATTTTCTATAATGAATCCAAAGTTGATCGTTGTCTTCGTCGTAGTCGTCGTCGCAGTTAAACGAGCTGCATCATTTTGTAAGGAAGAAAACGAAAAAAAAAAAAAACAAATAAAAAAATGTATATTTAATATTAACAAAGAAACGTTAATCGAATAGTGACGACAATGTCGACGACGACGTTGGCGCGGCCAGCAACAGCGGGAATCACGATGATCGGCCGAGATTTACAGGCATTTTGTGGCCAGCGACGATGACAGCGATGTCAGTGCGCCAACAAAAAAATTGGAAGAAAAAGAAATAAGAAGAGAGAAAAATTTATTTAGTTAGCACTTACGAGTATGTGCACTTTTTTTATTCGGAAATATTTTGTATATAAAAAAACGCGTTTTTATGGTTTTTAATTATTTTTTGATTGATGTTCAAGTGTGTGTATTTATGTTTATTTTGCAATAATTTGTTTAAATCATTTAAACCACTATATTTATAGGGGTTGTCATGGAGGGAGCAGAAAAAATTTCTAAAGCACGCGGATACCGTTATTGTTTTTTTCATAAATTAATTTATAATAATAATAATAGATTGGCGCTTACACATATGTTAGTGTTTGGCCGAGCTTAATTTATAGGCGACCGAAAAATTAAATTGAAGATGGCACCAATTCTGATAATGAATGACGGAAATACGTTCCAAAATACATATCGAGCCCTACCTAACCGCCAAAAAGACGTAAGCGACATTTTGTTAAAAATTTTATTTTTTACTGCATCAGAAAAAAATGTTGAAAAAACTCAGTTTGGCGGTTAGGACTCGATATCATCCCCTTTCCACGTATCTACATTTTTGCGAAAACTATTCGAATCATTAGGCCCTTTCAATATCAACAAATTTTTACGAACCGTTACTAGTACTTGCAAGTTTTTACTGGGAATGCATTCAATAACCCAACAAATTTGCGAAGGAGCGAATTCGAGAGCGTAACAACCCGAGAGAGCTATGAATTTTACTACAAATTCCTGCAGGAGACAAAAAGTAAGGTTATATATTTCAAATTCAAATGTAAACAAAGTTTTTAAGAGGATTATTTGATGAAACATAATTAGCGAAATGAAAATATGAATGAACAATTTAAATCTAATGTATATTTTTTTTATTTTTATGACGATGGGAACTATTCCCAATTAAAATAGAAATTGCGCGCCAAAACTTAACCGTCAGAAAGTGTCAAAATGGTGCCAATTTTGCTCTCTATTTTTCTTTTACGCTCTCGCTGCAAGTACTTATTGGCAAAGTTATTGAATGGACCTATTTACAACCAAATTTTCAGCATCATACTTCTTTAACATAAAAGAAAAACTTTAAGTGAGTGCTCGCTAGAACTCGAAACTCAAAAAATATGTCATTCAGATTTTGAAAGCTGAGTAAAAATGTCCAGATTTAGATATGTATGTAGGTGTAGAGATTTTCGACCCTTTGCAGTTTTATAGACTACCACTATATTTTGCAGACATTTTTTAAATGCTTGTTTAATCAGCTTTCCGGAGCGTGCATATAAATTCCCCCAAATGCTCCAAAATATGTTAAAACAGTTTTCGAAATTCCGACCATATATAATTTCCACATTTCTCACCGCCTCACGATAGAACTGTGCTACGGACCAGCGGCAGAAAGGAAGAATGCAAGGAATGATCGAAAAATAATAGAAAGAATCAATGTGAACAAGCCAGGCGCAGACACTATTTGTTGGCCATCAACCGTTGACCGCAAGTCACCTCAAAGTACGAAGCCAACGAATAAAAAAAAAAAAATTGCACGTTGTATGGAGCGGCGAGGAGGCGATTGCGCTCACTAGTGTCTACACATGTAAGTACTATTACACACGCACAGTTTGGTACAATTTGATTTCGACTACACAATTCACACTGATTTTGTGCATAAAATAGACTGATAATTTCTATTTTTTATTTTAAATGTTTACTCTTTTTTTATTAAATTTTTCTGTTTCCTTTTCTCTTGGAAGCACAAGTAAACGAGAACTGAGAACCGAGAACTTGGGCGCACCAGCAAATAAGCGAGTATATACAAAAAAGCAAGCGGGCACGACAACGGCGAGCACGATACTGACTGACTATGAGTGTTTTCACAAATAGAAAAACACTACACCACCCCGACGAGAACAAGGAATCGAAATCGAAATCAGCGGCAACGCCAACGGCGACGACAATGACAATTACGATGACCACCAGACAAAGAAATTAAGCAGAGTGTGTAAATTATCCACAACAATACAACAGCGGACGATAAAGCAGGAGAAATGGCGAAAATAATAGAACTATGTACTATCGATATATAGTAGACAAAAAAGAAAAAAAGTATTTTTTTTTTTTTTAACTGAACATTAACAGTGGAAGGCCGATAAACATGAAAAAAATGCAAAACACGGCGCGACGCGGTGACACCAACTAAAAGGCCAGACTGATAGCGACGATGGCGGTAGTGGTGGCGGCTAGGAGCACAACATTCGCGAACGACCACAAATGAACGACTAATCATGACCAAAGTAGCGAAAGCGTTATTCGCAAACAACCAGCAGGCAAGGCGGGCGTTAAGGCCACCACCAGCTTGAGAACATGCAAGCGATTATAGTGAGCAAGCGGAGCATTGTTAGGCAGAGCGTATAGACACGCGAGCAGCAAGTGAGCTAATCAGCAAAGAGTTACTACATACAGTGCTCATTGCTGATCGGCTACCGCTACATATCGCTTATGTATTTAATTCGATAGTGTCATAACTCAAAAAGCTAAACTCGAGAAAAACGGCTTTAAAGTTTTGAATTTATATATCGTTACCTTAATGTACATAGGCCCTAACCAACAAATCTTTTATTTTACAGGAGAAGCAAAAACGTTATAAAAAGAGTATCAAAAACAGGTAGCGCTTTTTAGAAAGTGGCATGTAACTCCGTTGATGTTGGTACTAACAATCTAAAATTTTTACTGAAGGTGTATTTTAATACAAAAATCTGTGAAAAATGCAGTTTCGAAAAAAAGTGTTGGTTATGGCCTTTGTGAATTAATTAACGATATACATACAGTTACGGTCAAAATAAGAGAATCAAGATTCAAAATGATGCTGTTGGCAACTTATATTTATTTATTTATTGTTAATAATTTTCATAAAATAAATAAATAAAAGTTTCAAAGCTTGTACAAATTTCAAAAAAATTAATCAAACTTAAAAAAATTATCATCAAAATTTCAAACTTGCAGTTTTGTAGCTCAATAAATTTTAGTATAATAAAGTGCTAGTTTCAAGTCGCTAAATAATACCGTTGATTATTTATATTTTTTTTTTGTGGAAGGTGTTGCGCATTTTCTTCCATATAAAAGTAAGTTTTGTTCATGCGTTACATGGAAGAAAACTCGCAACAGCCTCGACAAAAAAAATCTAAAAAATGCAAATTTAAAACTGATTTCCGAAAAGTGATTTAGGAGCTCGCACAAAGTTTTCCATGCATTTAATATGGTAAAAAAAAAAAAAAAAAATCGTACAAATGGTATAGAATTCTTGAAAATCACTATTTACCATTTTTTAATATTAACGTTTTTTATGGGTCACCCGATTGCATTTTTTTAGGTTTTAGGGGGATCTATAAGAATAGATAATATTCAAGAATTCTATACCATTTCTACGAAAAATTGTTTTTTTTTTTTAGCATACAAAATGCATGAAAAGCTTTGAGCGTCCTCTAAATATTTTTTTTATTTCAAAATAAAAAAGGGGTATATCTTTTTCGGCAAACAATCCTAGGTGGTGAGAGCATTAAAATTCCGACTTTACTTATGTTGGATCACCCTAATGTACATATATACAAGCTTACAAGAACACTGTCGCCGACTGAAGATGCGATTCGCATCAGAAACTGGCGAAAATGCTTTAGAGAAGAGCAGTGCAGTATATACATTCGACGAAAATGTGTGATTCTAGTAATTTATCAGTCAGTAAATAGATTCCTTTCGAGCTGGCCCTACAAATTTATCTTTTCTTATCTTATGCCTTCAAGATAGAGTGGCTAGTTTTGTCATTATTTGCATAGCCGTTATCTCAGTCAACGTAATTATAAACGTAGTTATGTGAAAAAGTCGGGAAACAACACGGCGTATGAGGAACAAATAGCAAGTGATAATTTTATCATAGTAAATACAAGTAAAAAAACATTGCCGCATTCTGACGACTGACAGAAAGTATATATATTTTGATATAAAGCTGCATACTTAATAACATAAGCATGTACATATGAGCCGCTTTTCTTTAAAGTGGCATAAGTGGTAGTTTTAGTAAGACACAGATATTTCCTTTTTATACCTGTAATCATAAATTCAATGGAGGTCGATTTCTTGTTAAAGTCAACAGAAAGAAACTTAGCTATACAATTTTATCGGATTGCGTACAATCCAACGATGAACTGATTATAACGTTTTCAGCACATGGCGGTTTTGATGGCAATGAAAGAGTTGACGTTCTCGCAAAAAATGTGTCCTAACGGAACCTGTATGGTTCCCACCTTTCTGTTGTCCGTCAAAGGGATACACAGCGGAGCTCCAAAGGGACAAAACCAATATGTATAAGAAAGTTATAACAACCTTTAGAGAAATCTCCTTTAGAGGAATCTAAATTTAAGTCGAGGGGATCTTTGGATTTTTACAGGCTACCTGAAAGGTCTTCAGGTGCTGTGGCTGACACACATAATGCGATTTCCTTCGTATCATAGGTCAAAGGCTTTTACACTTCGGGGAGCGGTTGTCGTTTTCGATTTAAATTTGGAACACATTTGTACATATGTATATAGGTCGATGTTATCCCTTAAAATATTAACAACAAAAGTTTGTTACTTAAGGGTAATCATTCCATTTTATTTTTTTTTCGTCTTCAACAATTTTATTAGGCTTAAGGTCGTTTTTAATGTGGAAAATCAATATTTTACAAAATAATTTTTCATTAAAATTAAATAAAATTGTTGAATATGATTTGTTATTATGCCAATAAATGGCAAAGACAAGCAAGAAAATTGCCATAAATCAACGCGCTTTTTAGAGGAGTCTAACTAAACCTTTACTCTATTAAAAATTAATAGCCTCCAAAACTAGATTTTCAAGATTTTTTTTTTTAAATCTGATTACAAATTTGCAAATTTATTGACTTTTCCAAAGTTTTGTACACAGTTTAGAAATTTTATTTTCTTGATTGTGTTGGCATAACAAAAATGAAAATAGTGGAAAAAAGCAAACGATAATTTACAAGGCGTACCTAGCACGGTGCATAGGCAACTGGCTGAGTCAGTGGGATCGTCGGTTCGAAGCCTACTGAAAGAAGTCTGATGAGGAAATGTGGTGATTTCCGAAATAGCTATCACTTCTACCATTTTTTCAAATTATTGTAGCTTTTCCACAATAAATTTTCATTCAAAAACGGCCTCGAGCTCAATAAAAATTGTTTAATTTAATTAAAAAATGTATTTTAGTAAAGCCAAAGTCTAAAAACTGAGGACTTAAATTTCGTCTTCATTTTTTATAATTCCATAGAAATTTCTGTGGTTTAGTTTAAATAATGATTTAAATATAGTTTAAAATGGAATGGAGAAGTTAAAAGCCCTTAGAGAGTTATAAATCATCACCCACATTGATTAACGTTTGCCAATATTTTTAAATTAATAAAGACGCAAACTAAATATGTAATGAACTTGTACCCCTTTCAAAAAAACAGCTCATATGTACATATGTAGATACCGTCATGTGTACATGAGCTAGAAAGTAATCGACCGAAAAGTCTACTAAAAAAAGTATGAAAGCAAAGCCCCACCTTCAAGTATGTAGACTTTAAACCACATGGAGAAGCACACAGGCATGCAATAATACACCACCAAATGATGATGCTGGCGACAATTTTCGGCATTGGCAGACTTTAATTTAATGTGTGATTGTTTTCTTTTGGCCAATGACGCCAATCCGAAAACAATACACATTTGCATTTGCTTACTGCTTTAATTGTATGTGCGTACTGGCTTTGGAATTTTAAAGGGATATATCGTAACCTTCACTTATGTATGTATGTATGTACAAAGAGTCAAATCTATCACTTTTAAATATTTGTTAAATAAAAATTAATTTAATTTAATCGTGAATATCTTAAAACCCTGATTTTTATTGATCCTGCAGTGGTTTTAAGATGCTATTAAGTTTTAGTGGGTTAGGACCTTTCCATATTAATGTAACGGTAACCATACATAAGTGTACATAGTTACAAGTAGATAGAACCTATGCAGAAATATCCCTTTGTATAAATGCGCACTATACGAAGCACGCTTTTATAACTTTATTGTGACTTCACATTCCTCTTTCCAAGAGTGTGTATGTGTGTTTATGCGTGACTATGGTGCCATTTTAGTAATTAAGGTAATACCATATCTCCAACTTGCAGTCATGGACAGCTAACAGCTACAACACAACAATACTGGCGTTGAATTGGCGTCCACCCGGCAAGACAGGTACTTGAAAAGAACAATAACGGGACATATGATGTTACTTCCATTAAATTCTGATACTGGCGGTCATTCAGGGAACATTTTTGTCAAAGAAGGACTTTCCTCTCTAGTTTACAAACGAATGAAATAACCAAAGAAAATGCAAGCCGCTAAGCTGCACGAAAGAACTCGCAACTCTGAACTATCACAGCTGTTTTGCGAACAATATCCCTATATCACTATGTACAGCATTAAGTTCTCAAATATCGCATATTACATCAAATTTCTACATCAGATTAAAAGTAACATTTAGTAAACAATCTTACCAAAATCTATAAAAAAATGTTCAACACAAATTCTCTTTTTTTGTACTTTTATCAAAAAACAAAAAAAATCGATTTCAAATACACACACTATATGTACGTACATACATATGTACATAAGTACATACATACATAAGAGCGCATGAATTTCCGTTTTACAGCCAAATTTCCTGCTGGCTCCTAAAAGTATGCTTCAATATCCTGTCCAAAAGATATTTGCACTAGAACATAATTCAATTTCAAACACTTTTTTGAGCTCGATTTAAAAAATCATCAGAGCGACGAAAGTGATGATGACCAAACTCCAAAACACTGACTAATAGCAACAACACACTCATGTATATGCACATATGTACATAGATATGTATGTAAATATACTACCGACATATGCGCCAATATTCTTATTCGGCACACTACACACTGCTCTATGACTGCTGAGTACGAGATGGATGACGTTATTTTTGCTGGACACGAGTGTAAACTACTGACGACAACGCGATTAGGGCGAAGAACGAGATGAAACAATAAACGATGAGGTTAGCTGTTCGCTACTTGGCACTTTGGCATAGCTTAACCAATGTAATGTTGTGGTATTGCAATAGTTGTACAAAAGCTATTAATTCCACTAGCTGAAATGAAGGAAACTCAGTCAGCCTCAAACAATGTTATGCATTCTCTATGAATGTACCAGTGTTTGTATGTTGATACATACATTTTTGCATATACATATAAGTATGTATGTATGTACATACAAACATTCTAAGACTTTTGTATTCTTGCAAACATGCTAGCAATGCATTCCAATATAAAAGTTCAGTACAATTGTAGAAGCATATGCAAGCGCCGCAAAATGACAGCATTAGTGGGTGAGGCGATGACGGATGCCAATATGTCGGTATGTACTAAATTATTGTCAGCCTGTTTTAATAGTGTTTGCATGGTGTCATTGATATGTATTGGTGCCGAGTAGTATGTGCATGCCAGCGTATTACTAAGCGGTGAATCGAATCATACG